CTATTTTTCTGGTTGGCTCAAATAGTATGACTTTTCGCAGCCATCAAAGGTACATCACAGAAAGCTAAGTTTGGCTATATCAGTATCTGATCTCAAATGATGTTACAGAACTAGTGAGGGCTACCGTCATATGACCCCACTCCGTAAAGACATACGACAGAATAAAGTAGATCGTTTTCACAGTTTTCTTTTCAGATCAACAAACGGTAGACCATCTCCTCAACAATGTTCAGTTGAGAGACAGGATATTATCTCAATTAAAGTGGCATACGCGCTACACAGTAGCTAACGGAACAGTGGGCGGTATGTTATTTTGTCTGCTCTAGCTAGAGTGGTTTCTTCAGAACATAAAATAGGTGCTGCACTTCGAAGATGATGACGCCAACATAGACGATCTAACAGCTATTGAAGATCGGATTTGCTAAAGAACAAGGTTTTCCAAGATGTCACAGATCACAGATGTATCACTCAGAGATTAAATCATAGAGTCAGAATACAAAACAGAAGCGGCATGTTAACGAGATAAGGCTTTGGATGTGCGAGGGCTGCCGCGAATTGTTTCTAGAAATGAATATCTAAACAGAGGGGGAAACCACATAGGCGAACCAGAAAAAGTGGATAAGATACACGATTTGGCACCATGTGACGAAAGCATCATTGCAGATGAACCGATTAAACAAACCATACACGGAGCATACGACCCGAAAAGAAACAAAAAGTTTGACAGAAAAATTCAATGGCCTCAAAAACACGTAAAATAGAAAATATTCCTTTAGGTCACTGCGGCATCCATGCTCCTTAATTTCAACGACTAACTACTGCAGTAATCATAGTAGACGCATTATTCCAAGTAAAGCATTATTTATTCGGTAAATCAACTCTACACCCTTACCGAATATACATATCCCAAAAATTCGTAGGCGAATAAGGTCGTCCGTCAATACTCCTATTCAGAAGCTGAATAAGAAAACTGACGGAGACGTCCAGAAAATACTACTAGTGTTTGTTCTCTTGGGAGATTAGCCAACATGAGCACTTACACACCTATTTCACACTTATTGAGAAGTCACTGCCACGAACTCTGAACACTGATAAAGTACAGTACTGACTCTGCTGCAAGGAAATATGCTATCACGCACCCCCATGTATGCCCCTGGGACGAAATAAGGCAATGCACTGTCCTTTAGGTATCACATCACCCCTCTTATGATACGTTTCGTTCCCTTGTGACTCAGTCGGACAAAATAAATGTCAGCTTCACTACAGAAATAACAAACAAACAATAGCCAAACGCTAGCTGTTAGAATATACGAGTAAACAGATACCGCGATTGGTTTCCTGAGATGAATTCTGCAGATGCCCCCAAGACGTCTACCTATCTGGATCACCTTTATTACTTCAGTGTTACAGAAACCCGCATTTCTGACTGTCAATAGGTTTCGACTTTTCAACAAAATTGGTCGCATTTGGTAAAACCCATCTAATACATAGCACAAATTGCACTCGGCGAGAGCACCGGCAAAAATTATGGTCCCTTTTACTTTTGCTCAACATAAGGTGTACAAACAGCAGTCTGTATTCAGTTGAGAAAAACACAAGTCAATGGAAACAAAAGACTGTGAGGTAGAGAGGAGTAGTTTGTCTCTATAAATAAACTTTTCTGGCCTCCCTTCAACAGGGGAGAAAACATAGCCATGGACTAATGACCACTCCTCAAGCTTTATCTTTCTCCAGGCAATACATGTTACGTTTAGATGCGAACCCTGGTGTTTTTGTCAGTGCAAAAACAATGTTTCTACCTACCTATCTTTTAAAATTTTGAATACTTATCTCCCCGGGATGTCTCATCTTATAAACATGAAACATTTATGCACTGTAGTAACAATAAGTGGTGACTGCAGTCACTCATGAGATCACCTGCCATAAGGATTTACAGTACCTTATTACTCTTCTTCATGCATCGTGACTTTTCACTTCTATTTGTTTGTTTCTTAGTCCCCTTATGCTTCTTATTCTGTTGCTTTAGGGGCCCACTTCTGTGCGATGCACGAGCCATCGTGAACAGACCGTGAGACCTTGAGAGCAACCTTGAGAGAATAAATCCCCCTCAAGGACTCGGACATTTGAAACTGCTAACGTCCGAAATCAATGGTCCTAAGTTCGCATTATGGTCTTCGTTTGAATCATATAATAAGTCAGGAGCCAAGTTTCACTTGTGAATCTTCTGAGGTCTTGGACCGTAGATTTTTTTTGTGTATCCAATATATTTTAAGGGCTAGCGTAAACCATCTGATTGTTTCGAGCTCGCTTGTAGGTCTTAAGAAACGGCCCCAGGTCTTTGGTGGATTCCGATGTAGTGCGCCTACCCACTTCTCTGCTTTTGCTTTGGTAATCCCGATGGGCGGTTAGGTGTTGATTAAATCGCTAGGGATTGTGTGGTGCATATGGGTTCCTCAAGTGTCGTGCCACCAGATAGTTGGTCGGGCTGGTTGTAAAACGAAGATAGAAGAGATATCCAAAGAAACCAAGAGAAAGAAAGTGCGGAGAAAAAGACACAAACGAAATACGATAAGGCGAATGGAGGGGAACGGAAAAAGAAACCAAGGTGTATTCATCGGAGAAGAGTGATAGGTAAGTAAACAAACGTTTTATTCTCGCGTTAAAAAAAGATTTTAACATGAGAGAAGCCAGTTTACAGGCTTTATCATATAGTGTGAGAACATAGAATAAGAGAGAGGGAAGAGATGGTGCATTTGATGTAATAAGATGGGTTGTGAGAAAAGAGATCGTAATGCCATTTGTAGGAGATGGTAACTGGAGGTGATATCTACCAGGAAGTATAGGGTTGAGGCAGGTCCGCGATAATGGGGCATTACAAAAGATTCGGTAACGGGTTGGCTGTGCTGCGTTGCGCGGAGTTAGTAGGTTGTATCAACCTAGTCTATGTCGTAGCTGTATGAGCGCAAACCATGCGTCAATGCGTAAACGTTCAACTTCTTCTTGAAGCTGTCAACAGCCTGAGTAGTAGCAATCTCGGCAAGCAATGAGTTCCAGTGGCCGCAAAATCGCAGACAGAAGCTTGAATGCATACGGGTTTTCGTCCTTTGGTAGGCGGTTCTACTTTGGTTACCACCAGGAGCGGTTGTATAGTAGGATTCCACTGTTTTGACGACTTGGATTACTTAGCATTCTTTAAGCCGTTATCGAGTCACCACGTAATCTACGGTGGCCAAGAGAGTAGAGCCTTAGGCCTTTCAGCCCGTCCTCATGGGGTTTTGCCTCACTCTCACGACGCTCTTTGTTCCTCAGCTCTGGACTTTCTCCAGGAGGTTCACGTCTCTTTTCAGGTATCTTGGTACAATGACGCTGTTGTCCTCTAAGTGAGATCGTATTTAGGTCATGTACAGCTTCAAGAAGAGTTCCAGAGTGAGGTCACCTAGTTGTCTGCGCATGAAGTGCAGTACTGCGTAGGCTCTGAAGGCATCTTCTAAACAACTGGGCCTGGTGTCTAGCGTGTTGGCGAGTATTAGTCCGGGGCCTTTCTCCATGGTTCTGTGGGAAAGTTGCGTCTTACAGAGACAGTAGGGTACTTTCCAAGATCCAGGAGTGTAGAGAAACATGGTTCGACACCTATCCAGTTCAAATGTCAGTCCGTTAGTTTCTGCCCACTCTGAAAGCAATCTGAGATCACTTTGCATTGCACTTGATTCTGCTTCGGATGTCACAGTTCTTAATAACTTAGCATCATCAGAGTAAGGTAGAACTTGGAGCTGGGATTCAGTGGAAGGTC